GCCACCCACCTTCTGTCGCTGGTAGACGGCGGGCAGGGGGGCGACCTCGCAGTCCTTGTGCGCCCCGAAGACCTTGCAGAGGGAGCAGGTGGGGGCCTCGCAGCGCAGGCAGTAGATGTTGATCCGCTCGTCCTCGTGCTCCTCGCACATGAGGTGCTGCTCGGCCTTGGCGTGCAGGGGCCTGCGGGCACCACAGCCCACCCGTGGGTCCTAAACCCCAGGGACACCCCCCAGGGCCCCAAGGACACCCCCGGTCCTGCGTGGGCCCCGTTACCCCCTACCAGCACTCCGGGAGGGCTCCCACCCTCCGCCTGCCCCCCTCCCCCGAGGGCTCCCTTTCACCCACGGGACTCGCACCCCCGCCGGGGTCCCCGGTGTCCCCGTGGGGTCCCCGGTGTCCCCGTGGGGTCCCCGCACCTGGCCGACTCCTGCTTGTAGATGTCGATGATGTTCTCCACCAGCAGGTTCCGCTGCAGCCCGTACACCCCGTGCCGGTCCAGCACCACCTCGTGGCGGCACGACGGGCACCGGAACCGGCCGCCCGACGGCACCGCGCTGGAGCCCCGCGACTGCCACAGCGGGTTGGAGGCCTGGGGGGCGGCGGGACAATCTAGGGTACTAGTCTACAGGTTTCTTAAATCCCTCCCGGGATGGTGACTCCACCACCTCCCTGGGCAGGCTGTTCCAGAAGCCTACCTGGAAAATGTCGCTGGCGCATTTTCGGCAGAGGTTGTGCTGGCAGGGCAGGATGACCACGGGCTTGGTGAACATCTCCAGGCAGATGGGGCAGATGAGCTGCTTCTCCAGGCTCTCCATGCTCCGCGCCTCCGCCAGCAGCGGCTTCAGACCCACCGCGAAGTTCATCGCCGCGGTCCCGGCCCGGCTCTGCCCACCCCGGCCCCGCTGCGGCTCCCGCTCCGGCCCCGGCCGCCCGGTGCCCGCTCTGCCCCGGCCCCGCTGAGCGCGGGGCTAATTTTAGCCGCCCCCGCCCCGCCGGGGCCGCCGCAGCTGTCGGCGGCGTCGGGTGACACTGAGTCACGGCGCCGCGGCGGGGGCCCCCCGGCACCGAGCGACCCACCGGGGCCGAGTGACCCGCGGGGACCGAGTGACCCCCGAGACCAAGTGACCCACGGGGACCGAGTGACCCCCGAGACCAAGTGACCCACGGGGACCGAGTGATCCCCGAGACTGAGTGACTCCCGGGACCGAGTGACCCCCGGGACCGAGCGACCCACCGGGACCGCCCCGGGGAGGCCGACCCGCACACCCCCCCGCCCCAGGCATACCCACCCCAGCCCTGAGCTCTCGGCCGGGGCAGAGCCCCCCCTCTCCCAGGACAACCAGTGCTGCTCCCCGGGGCTCCCCCACCACCTGGGGAGGATGGGGGGCTGGGGTCCCGTCCCCCCGGACCCCGCTCAGGCTGGTGTGGGGTGCACCCCGGGAGGGCAGAGCTGGGGGGTGTCGCTGGGGGGTGCGGGCTCTGCCCTGCAGGCAGCAGGGCTGGGAACAGGCCGGGGTCCCCCAGGCCCCACGGACCCCGTGCAGTGCCAGCCCTCCCGGAGAGCAGCGTGGAAGGGCGCCCGGGAGGGACAGTGCCAGGAACAATCCCCGTCCCACCGCTCGCCCTGGCACTCCGGCTATATTTAGGGGGTGAGACAGAGCCCGTGCAGCGTGGGCAGGGGCTGCTGCCTGGGGGAGTGGGAGGGACGGGCCAAGGCCTCAGTGTCCCCCTGTCCCCCCTGAGGTGGCAGGGCCATGGCTCCCGAGAGAGCAGGGCACGCTGCCCAGCAGGATCAGGGTGCCCGGCCGGGCTGCTGCTGCCCGACCCACCGCAGCAGCGAGGAGGAGGACAAGCACAGCCCGAGGGAGCCAGCAGGGGCTGGGGGACACAGAGCTGTCCCAGGAAGGGACAGGAGACAGCGTGACACTCACCCCTGCGAGAAAACAGCAGCCCCTGGGACACGACCCACCTAGGGGTCCCCTCCCGCAGGACCCACGGCCACAGCCCCACACACAGGGCAGAGCCACGTCCCACCGCAGTGTCCGGGCAGCCCCCCAGGGGACAGAGACCACACGCAGACGCGCTCCCCTCCTGTCTTCTTTTAATGGTGCCCATAAAACCTAAACAAACCCAAGGAAAGTGCCTGTGCCGGGCCCAGCCCTGCAGGGAGCCTGCCAGCAGCAGCGTGGGGTGCAGCCCGCGCCCCGGGGCCGTGGCTGGGCAGAGAGGAAGGGGGCACAGAGGCGGCACCCCAATCCCAGGAGCAGCGTTTGGCACCCAGCACCCGTCAGGAGGGTCCCCGTGAGGGCAGGGAGCGGGCTCAGCCCGGCCCCGGGGGTTACAGTGCTAACGGTCTCAGACATGCTCCTACGCTACGGAGCTGGGACGAAGGGGCCCCCGCCGTGGCTGCTGGTGCCCGGGGCCGGGGGGGCACAGCAGCAGGCGAGGCACTGGGACGGGGGCGCAGCAGTGCGGGGTCCGAGCCACCCCCCCAGCAGCGCTGGGAGACAGGGGCAGGGCCCTGGAGCTTGAGCAGGGGTGGTGAGCCCCCGCGTCGATGCTGGCCAAATTAACCTGAGATTCTAGCCACCCTGGGGCTGGAGAGCCACCCTGGGCGGTGTGACCGGGGTCCCGGAAAGTGACAGTCCCAACGGAGGATCCCTGCCCGTGGTCCTGGGGGAGCCGGGGGGACTGAGCCCAGCCTCAGGCATCGGTCCTGGCGCAGGGGGCCGGCAGGGGCTCGGGGCCGGCCGGCGGGGGCTGCGCCACAACAGGTCCCTGCGGGTCTGGAACAGAAGGGCTGTGGGTCAGCGGCTCAGCCCCGTCCCGCGGTGCTGGCGAGCAGGTACCCGGGACACCCCAACGCCCTCCCGAAGGCTCCCCAGGCCACGGCTCCCAAACCCCCAGCCCAGCCACGCAGCAGCCCCCCGCCCCACAGAAACCTGCTAAAGCGGCCCAGTGACCGTCCCCACAGACACCAGTATGGCCAGTGCCCAGGGAAGGAAGCCAGCCTGGAGCACGCTGCCCTCCCCACACCCCCGGAGAGCACGGGCACCAGTGTCTCTGGGCTGCAGACCCCTGTAGGGGCTTCAGGGAGCTCTTGCCCAGGGGAAAAAGAGGAAGGAGAAGGCACCCCCATGGCCATGCAGTTGTCCCCTCCACTGCCACCACCAGCCCCGGTCCGGAGAGGGGACACTGAGGGCTGGCAGTGAAGCCAGAGCTGCAGCCAGGTCTGCTGTGAGCCCCCAGCCAGAGCCCCAACCCCCCCGAGATGAGATGGGGGGAGCTGCCCTGGAGCCCCACACAAGATGAGGCCCTTGGGACAGACGGACAGACAGACAGACAGCCCGACTCACCGCTGTCCTCCGCACGCATCTGCGCCTCCAGGTCCTTGGGGTCGACGTACTTGTAGGACTCGTCCTCCTTGGGCGGGCAGCAGGTCCCGCAGCAGAAGAAGCAGCAGCAGCAGCAGCAGCAGCAGGTGAGAGCACCGCAGCACAGAAACAGGGCCTGCGGGGGGGAGACGGCAGCCCCGGTGAGACCCCCCCCCCATCCAAGCCCCCGGGGGGGACGCCCGGTGCGGAGGCCGGTGAGGGCTCACCTGGAACCACCACTTGGACATGAGGAAGTAGTGCCTGACGGCATCGTCCCCGAACTGCTCGGCCACGTAGAGCCCCAGGGAGCCGTACTGGTCGTACAGGCGGCGCTTGTCCTCGTCGCTCAGCGTGGCGTGGGCGCTGTTGATCTCCTTGAACCGCTCGGCCGCCGCCGGGTCGTCGGGGTTCTTGTCCGGGTGGTACTTGAGCGCCAGCTTCCTGCGGGGCACGGCCGGGGACGGGACGGGGTGAGGGACGGGCCCCGCAGGGCAGCCCC